TACGTGAACCCACGCGAACTGCTGCTGCTGCTGCGCACGCTGCGCACGCTGCTTTTTTTCACATGCGGCGGATGGGATTATAAAAGGTTGGGCGGTATATTATGCCTCCTGTAAAAAGCTACGTGCAAAGAGGGGTGAGATAGAGATTATGCGCGACGATGAGAGAAGAATGACCTTTACTTACGGGCAAAAGATGCGTTTTTCTAATTCCTTCGCTACGCGTACGTGTGCGAGCGAGTGCGAGTGTACGCTCGAGATTTTAATTAGATCAAAATGTTATCTTTTCATTTTAGAACGAAAAATATGAGACGAGTAGTAGAGGGGATGTATATGTACATTGTGTGTACCCAGGCAGAGAACATGCGTGAAAAAAATTAAAATTAAAGTCATACTCGCTCGACGTCGAGGACCACTACAACTACGACGTCGACAACTACCACGCTTAATTGCTAAGTAAAGAATGCTTGCGGACAAAATGAGAGTCGAGACCAGTTTTTTTTTTTTTTTAAGTTTTGTATTACAGAATTGTTTGTTTAATTGCAACGAATATGATTCAAATACATTGAAAAAAAGTACATGATCATACGTAAAATTTTTTTTTCCAAGAGTGTCGTTATAATTTACACATTATATATCATTATATATATATACGTGGCGCGTCGTCGATCAGCGGTGCGATCCACGTACGAAGTTCATTATTACACACTCATACACACCATTATATATAAGAAAAAACGCCTCTCGGTGGAGAAGATCGTGTCTGGCACTCGAAAATAAATTAACCCCCATATTTGTTTCTTTTTATATTACCTGTTCCCTAATATACACGGTGTTATATACACATATTATTTACGAATATTTTTTAATGTATGTATATTTTGAAATGACAAATCGATATTTATATCGTTTACTATATAATGATTTTTTTTTTGTCTCATACAATGCGTTATTATAGAAAATATAATCATTATATGAGCTTATAGTGGAACATCGCTATTGTTTGTTTTGTATTTTTTTTTATCATAAATCCTTGATGCGTGCGCATGATTATTTTTTTCGCATGTGTGTGATTGTGAATATATATCATAATATACGTAATAAATGTGCACGAGCTTTGTTATTTTTATACATCGATTAGTTACAGCGAATTCGGAACTTTATTATTTTTTTTTTCTTATCTCTTTGTAAATCCTACTTTAATGGATTTTAAACGGGACTTACAGTACAGAGAGAGACGCGTCATTTGTGTAGCAAATGATCGTGCTTCAAAGAAGCGCGGCGCATCTGCCCTCTCCTTTATGTATCGTAGAAAAATGTAGAAAGAGACGTTTTACAGTGTAAAAGAGAACAAGAAGTTACTACTGCGTTTTTATACGTAGAAAATAGAATAGATCGACATTGCACGTGAAAAAATGATAAGCAATCAATTTCTTTTTCTCTTCTTTATCGTTTTTTTTACTTTTCATTTTTTTTCGTTTTCATTATTTTAACTATAAAAACATCTTATAATCATTATAATCTTAAAGTACAAACGCAACATTTCTTTCTCCAACTATTCAATAATATGATATTAATAGCAGAGATAAAATAATTCGATGTGGCGATGTTGTTTAACGACACATACGCAATGTCGAGAAAAGCTATGAGTTACTATCGAGACCAATTTGCTTATCCAATTAGTTTTGCTCGTTCCAAAATTTTTTAAATTCGGATTCGGTACTATATTAGACTGTAATCATAAACACTTTTAAAACAAAACAATCGATCCTATAGGTATATTTATTTATAATTATATCATCTATATCATAAATCCCTGTTTGGCAGTGCACGCAATGAGCGATGATTTTTCTATATTAATATGCAGAATAATCATATTATGTACAATGCATTTATACACTTTTTTCTGTTTAATTTAGCAAATTGTTTCGATTTAGTTTTTAAATACCGTGCTACGATTGACAGGAAAACAAACGAATGAATCTTTTCAATTCATTTACTCGCTGTGCCTCCACGAGGAAAGCTATATGAGAGAACGAAATATTTATACTTATGGTTGGCATGATATCTATGTCAATCAGTATGGTCGGAGAAGCTCCGAACTTACTGAGACCTGTACATTGAGAGTCTTTATTCAACGCTTACTTTCTCTTTCTCTCCCTATACCTTATGCGACGGTGTTTCGGTCGATCGATAACCAAATTACCTTTGCAAAATCTCAACCGACCTAAACAAACACGAGCCACAATCTTCCGGATTTCGGAGGTGCCCTCTAGAAATTTCTCATCTGTTTGTACAGATAAGTCAACATCGATTGCTTGCTCAAAAGTGAAAATAACAAAATATAGAAATTATGAGATAAAAAATAAAAAAACTACTATAAAGGGATCAATATAGAACAGTGCAACGAGGTGTGCATTATCATTAAGATGTTGTGTATGTGTGTTTGTGCGTCTGTATCAAACTAAAAAAAATTGAACATATCACCGAGATGAATTTTCAGTATAAATTTTTTTTATTTTGCAAGAAAAAAACATTTTGCAGGTTAATCAACATTAAAATACAAGTATCAATTTTTTGTATGTCGTTTCATTTATATTTATAAAATAATAATCCGTACCTATTCCGTTATTATTTAAAATTTTTATATAATATATAAAATAATTATTATCATTTTCTTACCAACATTCTCTCCTGGTTTCACTCACTCTTTGCTCACGTGCTAAATTTAACTACTTCTTTTCTATTTATATTTCTCTTTCGCGGCTCTAATTTTCTCTTTCTTTTGTTGTTTGTTTTTATTCTTTTCTTTAGTAAAAGTTTGGCATTGCAGTCACAGCATGTAATATATGTAATTGCGTTTCACGACGACGGATTAAAAAAAATATAACCATATCACGATTATTTTGTATTTATTAAAAAAGATAGAACATTCAACTAACATAAGTATGATAGAAATTACTTAAGTAATCAACTGATTCGAATGATTTTTAAGTCATTTTCAAATGGGCGGTAGTTTTTATAATACCATTCCATCTTGCAAGTATTATTTTATCGTATTTATTAAGCATGGTTTACTTATGTATTTTATACAATTTCAATTTTTTATGGTTCATAGCTGACTCTTCTCCTCACTACCTTTCTTCTTTTTTTATATCTTAATATTGCACGATATAATTGCGTTTTTCTTGATCATAAGTTTTTTCGTCATTAAATAAATTAATAAAATTCACGATTTAATTTCAAAAAAGGTGTTAGCACCAATCTATTATATCACAATATTTCACTCCACACCACGCAATTGTAAATTTATAAATACCTATAAATAATTGTATAGCAATAATTCATTTATTTTTTGTTTATTAGTATAATAGTAGTAAGTAGTAGTGGTAGTGGTAGTAGTAGTAGTAGTAATAGTAGTAGTAGTAGTAGTGGTAGTATGAGAAGTAGTAGTAATAGCGATAGTACTTGCAGTAATAGTTGTAAAGTTTCGTCATGTGATTTTATTTTCAAGACAAAGTGTATTGAAAATTTGTCAAATCGTAACTTTCAGCCTGTACGTCATTTGATATTAATTTTGTCCCAACTGATGTGTCAAGTAATACGCGTTTTTTTAGTATATTATAGATGTACACGACCATTTGCATTCCAATAACTGTACAATAAATTTTTGATCTTATCAACTTAAAATTAAAATTTTGTAATGTATAAAAATAACCAAAATTTGTTTATGTTGTTAAAATTTTAATGAAATTCTAAAGATAACGATGAATTTTCAGTGAATTATAATTAAAGTGAAATTTTAATTCGAATTGCAATCCTGAGAGTGACTTGCGCATAGTATTAAAGACACAAATCTCGGATTCAATTATCATCTACGTTTCCACCGCGATACACATAACTTTCGTGAATCGTAACTTAAAAACTAAAATTTTTGTATAAATTATAAGTTTTGAAAAAATATTAAATTTTCAAAATAATTAATTACATAAAATAATCTGAAATAAAACGCCAGCTTGTATAGTCAAGGTAGATACATGCTCTTTTGTCGAATACAACAAATAAAATCGTACATAAATAGTGAACGTCAATAATTATAACAACAATTGAAAAAAATTTTTTTATGAAAATGCACAAACGAATTGATTTTTATTATTAATTTAAATAATTTTACCTGTTGACATTTATGTAGTCTAATTCTAGTACATAATTTTGTTGTGATAAATACATTCGAATGTGCGTCATCATTAACATAAACTTAAATAATTGTCAAAAGAATTTTCAACAAAAGTGATACAATAATAAAAATAAAATTTCCTACGAACTACAAACGAATCATTGCAACGCTTGTTAAGCAATCATTCTGATTGACAAACGTAACTCATCATTTTATATACAATTCACATGAATTTTTGTGCTTGCAAGTAGTTGAAATCAATATGAAATCAGCCACTCCTTGTACAATCTTCGCAACAGGGTACATATTCAGAAAGTTACGCGCAATAACGTACGAATTAAAATATCATCTGCGTGAGTAACTTCGATCTCGGTGGAAACGTAAAATGTTTATTTTATTGTTACAGAAAGTACTGCTGCCCTTACTAATCAAACAACGCTTTACACTTCGCTAATATTAATCATTGCACCGCCGTACCCGCAATTACAATATTCATGTTTATCTATACTTTCTTCCATTAAGTAAGCAAAAAAGACTTTAATACGAACGTTAAATTCGTTTCTTTAAGATGAATTCGTAAATCGCTCAGCGATTCGTTTCTGTTATTTCTTTAAAATATAAAGAGAAAAACAGACAGATATATAATATATCGGCGATAAACTCTAAAAATATACAAGTAGCGTAAATGTATAAGTAATAATAAAAAACGACAATAATATTTGCTTTTCTCTTATAAGTAAATAATAATTATAAGGGCTGCAGTACAATAAATGAATGTCCATAATTACACAAATAATTACAATAAAATAAAAAGAATGAATAAAAGCACACGGCCGTACTATACATTCCTTTGTATTGCTGATAAGGGAGCAATGAGCGTTGATATTGACTTGCGGTTCATATTCAATTAGTCAATTATTTTTTATTGTCGGCAAAAGAAATAACGAAATATTAAAGCTATACATTTACGTAAATTAATCAACATTGCACAAAAAATTTAATGGATACTACAAAAAGTGCAGTATGACTTTCTGCATATCCTAAGTCGCGTCAAGATCATAGGCCTTTCATGTGGTGCGTAACGGTAAATTATTACTCTTTTTCATTATTCTTTAATGTAATTCATTAATATTGCAAAAAATATCGACATTGCCTGATTATTTTTGCGCTTACTTTACTTAGAATTATTTACAATGATAAAAAATACAATATAATTTAGAATTTATGCAAAAGTAAAGAAATATAAGTGTTTATCTAAGTGTAAGCACAAAAAAGCAATATAGATGGGTTTAGCTGTTGTCTATGAGTAATTATAATTATTATTAATATAAATCCTTTTTTTTATCATTTTATATTCTCGTCAACCAGTAACAACAGTTTATATAAAATCATTAAAACGGTAACATAAAATAAAATAAATCCAATTTGTAATATATATTGTATATAAAGGGATTAGCGAATAAGAATCTGCGCAATAAATATTTCAATAAAATCTGTTCTGTCAATTATTTAGCATTAGTAATTAATTAATTTATATCCACAATTTCTTTCGATACTCCTACATGTACTATTACGCTTTAGTTGATTAGCATACTTTTTTTTGGATAGGTGATATTTAAAAAGTGTGCAGAGAGAAGTGGGTTTTTTCGAATACATTTAACTTCAAATGTACTAAATCTTTTGGATCAAGAATATAAAACAATGACAAAATAATTTTTTTTTCAATGAATCTACTTTTGAAGATGCTGCACGTTAACATGATTTATTCCCTCTTTAGAAAATTCAATTTTTTTCGTCAACTTTTTAAGAATTCGGTACCCGCACTGACGACCTATAACAACCACGAACATATACATTAATCGCGCTTTTTATCATCTACAATAACAAAAAAAGCTTTGATGATGCTTTTCTTCGTGTAATAATGTAAGTGTAAATTATGTATGTGTGTGACTATTATTTTGTCTTTTAAATGTAATATATAATATTCAATAAATTAATCTTTAAGAAAAAATATATAAACAAAAACAACGGATTGCACCTTAACCGATGGAAGTTGAACAAAATATTAATAATTATAAAAATCAACGTGCAACGACATGTTGTGACTATAAAGTTTAACCTCCCCTTAGATAAAATGATATTCTGTCGATAAAATAACTCTATCGCCAACCAATAATAAGTTATTTTTCTTTAAATAGCTTCTGATTACATGGTGTATAAAATATATTACTATAAGTCATCTTCCAATAGACAATTAGAACGGAAACCATTTGTATATTAACGGTGTTCTTCTATATACGCACATTTAAGTCCCCGGTCGTGGAATGTTATTATTCTTCATTTCCACTATTATTTGCGGTGTGCAGTCAACATAATGTTTTATCCATAATATTTAACGTAAGAATCTAAGCGGTTATTTCATTACTATTATCGTTTTTTTATATAAAAAACTGCATCAATGTTTTTTTACTGACAACTTTCAAATTATAGTTTAAATTACTAATAATTCAAATGTCTGAAAGATGAATCATCTAAAAAAACATACGCAAATACAAAAAAAGTAACAAAGCGTAGTTTTAAAATTCGTTGCTAGGCGAATAACACCCGTGATTGTTTCAACTTTCATTTGCTAACTCTTATTAATTTATTCATAATCATATGTCATCTTTTTCTATCATTTTTAAATGAAAATATTTACAAATTTCCAAACTTGTGCGAATTTGTCATAATCTGAAATTTCCTTTCAAGCTGAAATCTATTTGAGCAGATTATATCTCAATTGATTAATTTTGTGGCAGTTTTTCAAAGTATCAGAAGTACAAACAAATGAAAATTAACTGCAAAAAGTTATTTTATTTGTATGTTACGATACCGAAAGCCAATAACCACAGCGACTATGTAATATAAAGTTTAGATTTGAGTTTTAGCAAAAACAAAATGTACTCAGCTCAACTTGTGTATTTGCACGAGAAAATGAATGTTAACCTACTGTTAAGAACATTAATATAAATAATTAATATATTACTTCGCTTTTTTCTGATTTCTTCACATAACGATTTATATTAGTAATTAATTCTTTTTTTTTATATATAAAAATCTGACAACTTATTCACTTTCAAATCCCCAGTAAATATATTTAAGTTTCTAACTTAGAAGTGCAACCGAGAGGAATTGGCACCAAGTTTGCTCCCGATATATTGCGTTCTCCGCTTCTTACTTACGTCTCTTATCGTCTTCGCCGAAGGCTACATATTTAATGTTCGCGTCAAAATGAAAGAAGAGAAAATTATTTTCCTCGATTAGATTTTCATCGAGATTTTGACTCTCGCATTTTTTTTCTCCTACTACTACCTAGATCACAAAAGCTCAAAAAAAATTGACAAAACTCTATCTACCTAAGTGTGTATAATTAAGAAAAATAGCAGCGATCAATCGATTGATAATCGCTGCTACTTTTTATTTTGGCAACAGCGCTTCGCGAACCGGCTTTACAGCAATAACAAAAACTATATAATCAATCCAAATACAACAATTAAATGCATCCTTATTTATACGGTTCGCTTTTCCACTATTGCTATTCTAAAAACATTTTCATCTTACTCGAAAAACAAACAATCACTCCTTCTCCGCTTGGGACAACAGGAATCAACGCAGTTGGAAAGAAATACCAAGTAATGAAAGAAAAATTCCTAACTAAGCGCAGCTTTTCGCGCGTACACGTTCTTAAAAGCTTTCGCCTTTGGCGCGGAACTTGCAGACTTGCCGCCTAAAGAAGGACGAATCGGACTCTGACTACTAGCTCGGCCAGGAGGAGACCCGATGAAGACCAACAGTGCTCGATATTTCGCTCGTATAGGTCACGCTTCAAATATTGATGTCTCGATTGACATACGCTTAAATAGGCACATCACGCATATCAATATTCAATATACAATACATTCTATACAATATACAATAAATCAAATATCACATTGTGTACTCGGGACCAGCGTGTCCCAATCGACAAAGTCGAGAAAGAGAGAAAGAGAGAGACTGAGCCCAACAACGATTTGAGAATCTGTTTGGTGATTTGGTTGTTTGCAACGAGCCGTTGGGCTCGAAAATATCATGATTGCTGCATGTGTGCGCGCGTGTGCAAGATATATAAAATAATATCATTAAAAAACAAACAAAATAAATCTTCAATAGATCACGATTAAAATTCAATGATGAGCCCCCTGAATAGTCTTCTTATGTTAAGAAAAAAAACTATTAATATCGTTCTCGATCTCTATCTTGGAGAATCGAGCACCATTGAGTAATCATCGCGCACGCATTCGTCCATACTTGGTATTTCACTCTCGTCAATCGCACAAGGTTCTTTCTTTCTTTTTTTTTTCTTTTAATCATTCTCTATTTTTCTTTCGGATAATTGTTATGTTATTTCCTCACGCACCGAAGTACTGATGGTAGTAATAATAATAGTAGTAGTAGTTATGATAGTTGTAGCAGCTCGACGAAGAAGACGACGAAGGCGACGACGGCGACGACGACGACGAGGGTGGCGGCGGAGGAAGCGGCAACAACGGCAATGACGGCGAGGAGGGCGACGACAACGACGACGACGACGCGCCTACTAGCAGCGACGACGACGTTGCACGACGACGATGATCAGCACCGCCTAGCGCCGCCGCGACGTTAACGCTCAGAGGAGCACTACTACTACCATGATTGTTGTTGTGTTTTTGTTGTTGTTGTTGTTGTTGTTGTAGTAGCATGAGGCGTCGTCGGCGACGGCGTCGGTCACGGAGAAGAAGACGGCCTTAGGAGAGCGTGTTCATGGTGTCGTTATGCGCCGTCGCGGCGAGTTGCAACTGAGCGTTCGCGTGGTCTTTCGTGTCGGCGTTTTTTTCGCTCTCTGCGCTATGTTTGAATTTAAAGTGCGTGCGAAGATTGTCGCTGCGCGTGTAAGTGGCACGACAGAGAGGACACTCAAACCTGCCGGGGTAGTGGACGTGGTAGTGGTTCCTGATGTGCGTCACGTGTTTGCCGCAAATCTTGCACCTGTGTAGGTTGCAGCTGCCTGGCACCTTGTCAAAGGTCAGCCGCATGTGCCAGGCTTTAGAACCTGCAACATCAACACAAGACAAGTCACTAATTTTTCGTTTTTTTAAGGCTTTTAGTTTTTTTTTTTTTTTTTTTTTTTTTAAACCACGCACCATCNTTTTTTTTTTTTGTTTTTTCTAAACCACGCACCATCGCGTTTTTTCTCGTGTTTTTTTTTAATTATGATACGAGGAAAATAGCGAAGTTGAAGTAACAAAATTTAATGAACTGCGATTTTGCGGCACTCTTTGATTTCAACTTCGCTACTTTCTTTATTGAGATTTGAACTATTCTTTGGGAAGATTTTCTCGAGCTTAATCGTTTAAAATCGTTCAAGTTTTTTTTTTTGGTTATTTATCGCGACGCAACTGACGAAGCGCGTTATTAATTTTTAATTTTTTTTTAAGATAATTTTAAGAGTATCTGAGTCAAGTTTTTAAGTGTAAACAATTTTGTTTCAACAGAAAAATAATACAAAACAAATCTCGTATGATAAATTTTGATGGTGTGTGTTGTGAAAATGTAACGATGAGAGAGAAGTGATTTCAATTACTATCTTCCATTTTCAATTCATTAATAAAATGTATTGTTCATTTTTTCAACGACAAGACTTTGACAAAGATTTATGTAAATGGAACTACGTATTGTAATGAATAATGCTCGATTGAACTTTATGAACAATTTGATTAACAACATGTTTTTCACAAAAACAATAGTTAAATATTTAAATTAAGCTCACTTTTCTCTCAACGCAAAAAAAAATTGATATGTGTAATAATGAAAAAGATAAAAAAAAATTAATTACAAGCACTATCACGGGGAGAGGGATCGTAGATTCTTTCAAGGTGCCTCGTCACTATATATCCAATAGATTTCCATGAAAAAATAAACGGTGATGAATTAATTTTTTGGTAAAATAAAATTAACAAAACAAATTATATTGTCCTAAAAAAATGATAATTGGTGATAAAAAAATTGTCAAAAAAAAAAATAAATAAATAAAAATTATCGAATAAAAAAAGTGTTGTTAATAACGATGAATAAAAAAAAACAGAATAACTGTGCTCACGAGCTAAATTAAAATGGCATAGAGCTTTATAAAGAACAAATCACTTGAAGAGTTAAAAAGAGTAATGTAGCGTTATTGAAGGTCTGGCAATTCTGAATTGAACGTTTGTTGTTTTTCCCGACTGAGAAATGTGTTTAGTATGAGTTCACAATAGCGATAATATAATTAATTATCGTGATGATCATCCAAAATCCATTCAATCGACGTCGCAAGCACAGAAGAGACGCTTAGAGGTATTAAAAAAGAGAGAGAAAGAGCATATTTTTATGCACAGGAGAGAAAAGAAAAAGACACAGAGATCCGTGTAAAAGCCAGCCGCGTGTCGTCGACGTACACAAGATGCACCATTGCAAACGCGAGCGTGTCTGTGTGTAGTACACGATTGTGTGTGCAGCAGTGTAAGCTATAAGGTATATATTATGTGGATCTTGAACATGAAATTTACAGTCGAGAGAGCAAAATTCCAAGCCAAGGAGAAGCGACGCTCGGCCGACATCCGACGCTGCTGTTGCCTCGCATCTAGGTATATGCGAGAGTGAGTACGCCTCTCTATGTCTATGTGTGTGTGTGCAGAGTAGTACTTCGGTGTGTGTATGTATGCGTGTACGTGTGTTTATATTGCTCGCTGCTCACGAGTATGAAATATAACTGCAGCGATTCGAGAACGACGATTTTATTGCATTTGACTGGTGTGTATGTGTGTACGTACGCGTAATAATATTCGGTTGCCGTACGCGCGCCTGCATACAGTAATACATGCACCGAAACGAAATAGAGAAGTAGAAGTATCAAAAAAAAAATTGAAGAGAAGAGAAAATGGAGGCACGGCACTTCATTTCGTCCGTGTACGCGCGCGCGCGAGAACGGCCGAGCGTCACACGAGTGCGCAAACACATGGAAAAGCGCAAATATTCACCGGTGCATACATACGCGCGTATGCATCACGACGTTTATATGATTGCACGTGCATATCTAGGCGCGCGCGCGATGTACATTTGCCAATTCTTTAAGTTCGCGAGCCAATAGATGGCGCTGAGATGTGTATGTGTGCGCTAGGAGGAACCTTCGAAACCGAAGTTACGATGCAGCAGCAGCAGCTAAGCAAAACGACGAAGCGAGGAAAAACTGCCGCTGCAGCAAAGCCATGCAGTTCGCGCGCTGGCTCGACCAAGTACCGTACGTTACGTGTATATGCTATGCCGCGGTTTATAACTACTATCAACCGCTAGTCGACTCGCAAAGGCTGGTGGAAATATGCTCGGCGCAACGAAGGCGCTCATGATCTCTCTCGCTCGACACGGAGCACTTGGCAAAAAGAAAAATACAGGAGAAACACAGAGAGAGAGAGAGAGAGAGAGAGAGAGAGAGAGAGAGAGAGCAGGTAGAAGAAGTGTTGTTCGTTATAATTATTAAAAATCTAATGCATAAGAAAATTTTTTACATCCGACTTTGGTAATCGATGTGTTTCTACGAATGCAACAATTTATTTATCACCAACTGAACTTATTATATAATATTTACATTGTAAAATTTCTCTTGCCCAACAGTTAGATTATTTTATTGTAATTTTTAGGTGTTAGATAAAGTAGATAATATAAAACGTGAATTAATCACAATTTTTTGTATTTACACGATATCGTATTAGCCAATAATTAGTGGTTATAAGAGAGAGAGAGATATGTTCGATTGTCCTTTGAGCGACAATTCCTTATCATTGATAGGAGTATAGAAATTTGTACTTAGCAAAAAAAAAAAGAAGAATAAGAAGAGAGACAGAAACCCATCATATAAAGAGTAAAAAAAAAAAGTAGACAAAAAAGAGAAACGAAGAATACGCTGCAATTATTTATATATAACGTGTATTTTATATATTATTATATGTATGTATATATCTAAATATGGTGAAAAAATTCTTCTAGGCAGGCAGTGTTCGTGCTTTATGCCAGACGCCCTATACACAATAGCTCTGTACAAGTTTCAGTTATTTTTTCCTTTTTTTTGCTATATATACTATACACATCTTTTTATATATATATATATATAGATATTCTTTTAAGAGAGGCATTTTTACAGATCCCCATCGCAGAGCTCTCGTAGCGCACAACAAAAAAGGAAACGAGACGATTTCCTTTGCACTTTTATAATATCTCAAGGTACACTGCAGTAACAAACCAAAGCTGTCTCTCTCTCTCTCTTTTTCGCTCTTTCTTTCTCGTACACACGCACATTCTTCGCTATTATATTTTACTTTATGCACGAAAGCTCGAATGACGGTTTATATATAAAAAGTAAAGTAAAAAAAGAAAAAAGTAAGAAAAAGGTAAAGCACACTTTCGCTCTTATCTATTCTTACTTGCCATCGCTCTTCGTGCGATTTAACTTGTCATTCTCTTGCTATACACTTAAAATTACAGGGGAAAATGTTGATTTATTTTTTTTTACTTTTTTTCATCTAATTTATTCGATTTCACTGGCAGAAGATTCCTGTGTTGTGTTTGACATGCTACCTTGCGCACACGCATACATCTACACACTGCACAGAGCTTAATGCATTGCGCTGCGCCGCACACATCTGCATCGCGCGCACAAATACAGTAGAGTAAAGAAGTTACTTAAATACTTAAATCGCAAAACTGTATTATATGTACACGTCTCGGTGTCGCGTGCAGGGTCCATAGAGTTGAAAATTACAAGTTTAATTTGATGCGCGCGGGCTCTGCTCTGCTTTCTGCTCTGCTCTGCTCTGCGCGCGGGGCATTTCACAAGGGACGCCAAATGTCGTCGTTTCTCTGTCTTTTTCGACGTCAAAATCCTGTGTGAGTGCATTATTAGGTGCGCGCATATTTCGTATGCACGTACACACATAAACAACACACAAATACCACCAAAGTGTACGTATGTACGAATGCGCGCATGCTCGTGAACTACTGGTAATTAAAGCCTCGAGAGTGGTGGCGGCCGTCACTGCCGCTGATGCTGTTGCCGTGGCTATATGTGTGCAACAATCGCGAGACGGAAAAACTTCGTGATTAACAGATGTTTTTCTTCCAGCGTACATATAACACACACACACACTCATGCACACGTTATATAGCATTTATATGTGTTTACGCGCGATGTGGTGAAAATCCAATTTAAGGACTATCAAAACAGTATTGCTGCGGAATAGTTTTTTTTTCTGGCTTCACGCGCGCGATTGGAAAGGGTTGCAGTAGAGAGAGTAAAAAAAAAAAAAAAAGAAAAGCATAGCAACTTTTCCACGTGATTACGCCGGTCGATTTCTCGATTCCGAAGTAATTTTATTATTGCTCGTTTTTTCTTTCTCAGTTCTTCTTCTATTTTTTTTTTTCAAGGTTTTCAGCAGCAGCTTTGAATTTTCCGATGAAAACCGGTCTCGTGATTATTACTTATATGTTGGCACGTGTCTCTGCAGCAGCACAGCACGGCTCACACAGCATACATTAACGTGCGAAACGTGAAACTCTCGGGCCGAGGCACGAACGATGTGGCGGTGATGGTGGGGAGGGATAGTATTAATTATGAAAAGGTAATAAATACCTTTTTCTTGTTGCATAAAGGCAATCTAAGTTATATAAATAAAAAAAGAAGAAGAAGAGTATCGTCGGCTGTCCTTCAACTTTTTCTTCTTCGCTGCTGTGTATATTGTGGATTTTATGGAGTGATTACATAAAGATTAGATGAGTTAAAAAAATTACATTTTATTTTTATCACGTCTCTGTACACACATGCCACTACTATACATGATAATCTCGTATTTTATGCGAAAGGACAAAAAAAAAAAGCACGTTTCAAAAATGCACTTCGATCGATCGACCAAAAAGAGACGACGAGGAAAAAAATAGAAAAAAAAATGGGAAATGTCTCTCATAGAGCTAGTTCGCGTTTTTAAATCCTCATCCTCGTCGACAAATATTTCGTCCTTATAAGAACCAATATACAACATCTATATCGCTCATAAAAGCCGTTCGCTGCGCTACCGTTGCTACGAGTATTTTTTTATATATATACCTCTCTCTCTCTCTCTCTCTCTCTCTTGCAGCTCAAAGGATATTTTTCATCTAACTTTTGGGATGTAATTTTCAAGTTATATGCGCGCAGCAGCAGCAGCAGCGGCAGCAGTAGCAGTAGCAGCACCGGAATATAGAGCCCGTGTGTATATCCATCAAAAGGCTGAATTTCGAGATAAGTGAGTGCATGAGCGATTTATTTCGTATACAGTTACATGACTCCTAGGTAAAGACTGATCTTTGCTCGCGCGCGTCGTGCAGCGGCAGCCTATCATATTTGCTCTCTTCTTCATAAAATCTGTCGCTTCTCCTCACAATTCATTCGTCCTTTTTCGCTGCTGCTGCTCCCTCTCGGCTAGGATTACAGAGTAAATAATCGAATGAGGCCGGGAGAGAGAGACAGACACACAGACTTTTATTAAAAGGCAGCTGCGTATCAGTACGAGCGACCGTGGAAATTTAACCTTTGTACTCCGAACTTTGCGTGCCACGCATCAACTTTTTATTTTAGTAAAACTTCGTCATTGATTATTATCGCATTTAATTCAATAGTTAATTAAGTATACAAGCATTATCGCTGTAAGCTCGCTGCGCAAATACACTTACACGGCTAGAAAGAGAAAAAAATGGGAAAGTAATGCCAACGCTCGTTGAATGAAAGAGTAAAAAAAATGAAAAAATCGACATTAAGCAAAACGAAGCGAATGAAAGAAAAAAACTGCTACCTCCACAGAACAGCATGTATAGATGCGCGGTTTA